AGCACAATGATAATACCAACATGGGCCAGTGAAGCAACATCCTCCACAACTAGACTGAAGAACAAAAGGACAGCAACTTGTCTGTTCCCCTTCCCAAGATTCCCCAGCGCTGTTCCCCTCCCCCAATTCCCCAATAAAATCTTTAAAAAAAACCAAAAACACCATATATGTATATATAGTGCAGTGATAGGCCAGGTTAAGAGTTGATTAATAGCACAATATCTAGTAAATGTTAGGAGCTCAATAAATGAATAATAAAACCAATTACAATATGCTAGTACCCTGTAAAACATCTCTAATCTCTAAAGAATGTCTTGTATGTGTTACCTTGGAAAGTAAAGCTCTTCTGAAATTTTCTTCACCATATCTATAATTACTGGATTCTGATGAAATTAATGACTTTCTTGTACTCTTCTCACTGTACTGGTTCTATTTAGGACTCTTACTACAGAAAGGGCAATTATCTTGATTTTGTCTAGTAAATCCCTTTTAATTGCTTAGCATTTTCTTAGTGGAACTTAGCAGCAGTCAGTCTGCATTCCACTCTTAAGAAAACAGCTTCTTCAACTTTTTGGGAACCCGTACTCACAAAACTTAACATTTCAATAATTCCTGGCTCTGCCCACCTCAGCTCAATCTTTAAGCTTCACAAATCTTCCAGGCATATGTGGTTAACATTAGAGACATGTTATGAGAGGAGAGACATGTAAAATGAGAGGAGCTGGATGAATAGCCCAGGCATAGGAAGTTGGGCGAGGCCCTAGTTTGGATGAAGAAAAAGAAGAGATGGGGATAAGGGAGGAGAAAGAACTAATGAGAGTCACTGGCAGTGGATAGGCAGTCAGAAAATAGAGGGGGACAAAAAGAAGAAATCACAAGGGAGGAAAAACATGGGCAGTAGGAAGGATGTGATGAAATCGAAGATCTATAGAAACGCAGATGAGTTGCATGGAAGTAAAATTTAGAAGTGGATGGTAGATAGCAGAGTCCTAAGGATGATGGGATCCAGAGTTACAGAAAATAGATAGTATTTGTAATCAGTGGATTCCATCATAAACAAATATATTGTTAGCAGCAGCCCAGAACTTGACACAGAAAAATGTTAAAGTCGATAAATTACAAAAGGATTTGATATTGATTGTGTACTTTTCTCTAATTATGGTAAATGAAATATTCTTGAAGTTTTTCTTTGGGAACACATATATAATTAAATATACTTCACTTTTATATTGATGAGAATTACTTATCACATATTTTTGAGAGGACTGAATATTAAGTTTTATATGTAAAGATTTATAGCTTCAGAAAATATGATACAAAACTGAAAACATTTACACAGTATTTGAAGATTATTTGTAAAGTAAACTTTTACAGTGTGTCACTTAAGGATCAGTCACTTATTTTTAGTTTTTTAAAAATCTCCGTTAAATATCTTACTTTGAAATATATCATGCCACTAATTTTATATTGATTTATCATTTTTATAGGGCCAGGAAAACTCCATATATTGGGCTGCATTAGATAAAAATGTACAAGGGGTAACTGCTAAGGGTGAGTACAAACTATGTTTTTTTTTAAATTAGTTTCAGGTGTACAAAACAAAGTAATAGTTAAACATTTACACCCCTCACAAAGCAATAATGCATTTTAATATGGTGTTTTTTGGATACAATAGTTGTTATATCTTTGCTTTATTAGTACTAATTCAGTAACATTGGATGGAATATATTTATATGATAGCTTATAAGCATCTTCTTTGATATGTATTTATTAAAGATTTAGGTGGAAAAACAGAGTATTCATAATTGTCAGCCACTTTCTGATTTTTTTTCCAGACAATTTAGAAGATGAGACTGAAGATGATGACCTATTTGAAACCGAGTTTAGACAATATAAAAGAACATATTACATGACAAAGATGGGAGTTGATGTAGTGTCTGAGTATGTATTTGCTTATACTGTAAAGTAGAAAAAAATTAGATTTTGCAGTTCTTCATAAAATAGCATAATTTTGATAGTTAAGGGAGTGGGAAAGAAGGATTTTTTGATTTCATAAATTATTCTAGGTCTTTCAACCAGCCTGGTTTTAGAGAAGGTGATATTACAAAAGCTGACGTGTTAAATTCCTATGATAAAAATTGCCAAATACAAAATGGTTAGCTTTTTTTTAAATTGAATTTATTGGGGTGACGTTGGTTAGTAACATTATATAGATTTCAAGTATACATTTCTATAATACATCATCTATATATCACATTGTGTGCTCACCACCTTCTACGGCCATGTATTTGATCCCCTTTATCCTCTTCTGCTGTCCCCCTCCCCCCCTTAACCTCTGGTAGCCTCTAAACTGTTTAAACTGTTGTCTGAGTCTATGAGTTTTTGTTTGTTTGTTTGTTTGTTTGTTTGTTTGTCTTGTTCGTTGGTTGCTTTCAGTTTTATACCCCACATATGAGTGAAATCATAAGGTTCTTTTCCATCAGATTTATTTCGCTTAGTATGATAATATCAAGGTCCATCCATGTTATTGCAAATGGCAGTATTTCATCTTTTCTTATGGCTGAGTAATATTCTTTGTGTATGTATATCACATCTTCTTTATCCAATCATCTATTGAAGGAAACTTTGGTTGTTTCCATTCTTTGCCACTGTGAGTGAACATAGGGGTACATATACTTGTATCTTTACAGATAAATGTTTTCAGATTTTTGGGTAGATACCCAGAAGAGACATTGCTGGGTCATTCTGTTCTTAATTTTTTTTTTGAGGAACCTCCATACTGTTTTTCATAGCAGCTGCACCAGTTTACATTCCCTCCAGCAGTGTATAATGGTTCCTTTTTCTCGACAGCCTCTCCAACACTTGTTATTGTTTGTCTTGTTGATGATGACCATTTTAACAGGTGTGAGGTGGTATCTCATTGTGGTTTTGATTTGCATTTCCCTACTAGCTAGTGAAGTTGAGAGCATTTTTTCATATATCTGTTGGCTGTCTGTATGTCTTCTTGGAAGAAGTTTCTGTTTATGTCCTCTGCCCATTTTTTAATTGGCTTGTTTGTTTTTTTGTTGAGTTGTATGAGTTCCTTTTTTTTTTTTAGCTGAGCCATCCTGCCACCTGTTGGCAGCTCAGCGGTTGCTCAGCTCGGGCCGGGACTCAAACCACTATTGCTCAGAGTTCAAACTCTTGAGCGAGCTCTTAACCAACTGAGCCACTCGGCCGGCCCTTTTTTTTTTTTTTTTTAAAGATTTTATTGGGGAATTGGGGAAGCGGAAAAGTGTTCGGGAATTGGAGAAGGGGAACAGCCAAGTTATTGTCCTTCAGTCTTATTTGTGGGGGGCGCAGCTAGCTCAGCTCCAAGTTTAGTTGCCATCTGGCCACTTGTCGGCAGCTCGCTGCCGCTCAGCTCAAGGTGCCATGTTCAGTTTTAGTTGTGGGTGGGCGTAGTTCATCATCCCATTCGGGAGTTGAACTGGCAACCTTGTTGTTAGGAGCATGTGCCCTCACCAGCTGAGCCATCCTGCTACCTGTTGGCAGCTCAGCAGCAGTCAGCTTGGGCGCAGCTCACTGACCCATGTGGGAATCAAACCGGCGACCTTGTTGCTCAGAGCGTGCGCTCTTAACCAACTGAGCAACGAGGCTGGCCTGTGAGTTCCTTATATATTTTGGATATTAGCCTCTTATCAGAAGCATTGTTTGCAGATATCGTCTCCCATTCGGTTGGTTGCCTCTTTTTTTGTTGTTGTTGTTTAAGATTTTATTGGGAAACTGGGGGAGGGAACAGCATTGGGGAATTGGGGAAGGGGGACAGACAGGTTGCTGTCCTTTTTTTGTTCTTCAGTCTAGTTGTGGGGGATGTTGCCTCACTGGCCCATGTTGATATTAGGATCATTGCGCTCTTCTCGGCTGAGGCAGATCGGTTTCCGGCCATTGGACAGGCGTTCACGGCAGCTCATGCCGGCTGCCAGCCACTCACGGTAGCTTATGGCAGCCCACTGCAACCCTACTGCAGCCTACGCCATCCAGCAACTCACAGCAGCCCAGCTCCAGGTCAAGCTGTTGTTCACCATCTTAACTGTAGAGGGCGCAGCATCACTGGCCCATGAGGGATCAGAACTAGCGGCCCTGCTGCTCAGAGCTCGTGCTCCCAAGCCACCTCTTAACCAATAAGCCACTTGGCCAGCCCCAAGTTGCCTTTTTGTTTTGTTGATGGTTTTAGTTTGGTATAATCCCATTCATTTATTTTAGCTTTTACTTCCTTTGCCTTTGAGGTCACATTTATAAAATCCTCTTTGAACCGATAAGTTTAGAAACTATGCTTTCTTCCTTGCAGTTCATTGTTTCAGGTCTTAATTTTAGATCTTTGATGCATTTTGAGTCAATTTTGATATATAGTGACAGATATCAGTCTAGTTTCATTCTTTTGCATGTAGCTTTCCAATTTTTCTAGCACCATTGATTGAAGAGGCTTTTTTTCTCCATTGTATGTTTTTGGCTCCTTTGTCAAAAATTATCTGCCAATATATATGTGGGTTTATTTCTGGGTTCTCAATTTTATTCCATTGGCGTGTGTGTCTGTTTTTCTGCCCATACCATGCTGTTTTTTTGTTTTTTTTTTAATTGTGGAATTGGGGAAGGGAACAGTGTTGGGGAATTAGGGGAGGGGACCAGCCAAGTTGTTGTTCTTCAATCTTAGTTGTGGAGGGTGCCAGTCTCTATCTGGCTGCCTGTCGGCAGCTTGTGGCCTCTTAAGCTCAAGGTGCTGTGTTAAAATCTTAGTTGCAGGTGGGTGTAGCCACCATCCTATGTGGGAGTTGAGCCAGCAGCCTTGTTAAGAGCGCACACTCTATCCACTGAGCCATTTGGGCGTCAGCTCAGCGCAAAGTGCCAAGTTCAGTTTTAGTTGCAGGCAGGTATAGGCCACCATCGAACAGGCAGTCTTGTTGTTAGGAGCACGTGCTTTCACCAGCTGAGCTATCCTGCCATCTGTTGGCAGCTCAGCAGCAGCTCAGCTTGGGCGCAGCATCACTGGCCCATGTGGGAATTGAACCGGCGGCCCTGTTGCTCAGAGCTCGCGCTCGTAAACTAACTCTTAACCAACGGAGCCACTCGGCCAGCCCCATATCATGCTGTTTTGATTACTGTCGCACTTTAGTATAAGTTGAAGTCAGGAAGTATGATATCTCCAGCCTTGTTCTTTTTTTCTCAGGATTGCTTTGGCTATTTGGGCTCTTTTGTGATTCCATACAAATATGATGATTTTTTTGTTCTATTTCTTTGAAAGCTGCCATTGAGATTTTGATGGGGATTGCATTAAATCTGTATATTGCTTTGGGTAATATGGCCGAAAATGGTTAGTTTTTTGCTTCTCATCTTCTAAAGCTCACATCACACTTACCTCAAAGGCTGCCTGGCTCAACCCCAGGCTAATAGCTAGACCAAAAGTTTCTTAAGAACCTGATCTCTAGAATGGTGGCTTTCACACTTTTAAATTGCATCCTACACTATGAATTACAATGTTCATATTTTATGTATTTTAATTAACAAACACAAAGTGCTTGCCAAGTGCCAAGCACTAGTCTAAGCATTTAAAACATATTTATCCATTTAATTGTCACAACAATTCTTTAAGAAAAATACAATTGTTATTGTACAATAGAGGAAATTAAAGAATAAAAAGATTTGAGTGATTAGCTCATAGTGACATAGTGAGTAGCAGAGCCAGGATTGGAACACAGGCATTCTAGCTCCAGAGTTTATGATCTTAACCAATAGATGAGGTTGCTTTTCTGTAAGTAAAATAAGCATTTCATGAAATTCTATGTACCCTGATTATATGCAGAATATTTAGTATTTTCTATACTATTATTTTTACTTTTTTTAAAAAAAATATAATAAAACACTAATATTAGATCTTGTGTAGAGTCTGCCCAGGGATAGACCCAAGCTTTCACACATTGTTCTATATACTCTCAGACTGTCTTTTAGTCTAGTTATCATCTTTCTGAAGGGTCTATTTTCATATTGACCTCCAGTAACTAGAGGTATAAGAATTCTAGTACAATTCACTTGCTCATTTGAAGCTTTGTCAGGTGTCATTAGCATGTAGGACTTTTGAGACTTGAGAAATAATATATTTAAAATAGTTATACTTTTACTCCTTTATTCTTTAGTTCTTATATTTTCTTGATTACAGTTGTGTAGAACTATAGTACCTGCATTTGGCACTAAATTCTTAATTTGACAGGCAACTAATCTTCTGTTTTATTTCCCTTCCTTTTATATATTAAAATATAGCCATATGAAAATGAGATACCATTTGTTTGCCTAAAAAATAAGCAAATCTTTTTAAATTGTTATATTCAGTGTTGGTCTAGGGTACTCACAGAGTTCTTACCTTAATTACTGGTGAAAATGTAAATTGGTAAAATTATTTTGGAAAGCACATATGCAAAAGCCTTTAAAATATTTATCCCTTTGACCCAGTAACTGTAATTGTTAATCTGTCTTAAAAATATAAACTCAAACACAGAAGATCCTTATACACAAGGATGTTTATTACAAAGTTTTTTATAATAGTAAAAACTTACAAATCATAATTGTCTTCACCTCCTCCTTGTGACAGTCACCATGTCTGCCGCCTACACCAGAATCTGCAGAACTGCTAAACCTGTACTGACAGAAAGTCCTTTATAACTTAGAAAGGTACTTATGTTATTAAGTATGAGTTTTAAAAGCAGGAACAAAATCATATTTATATATTGTATACTCTCATTTTAAAAAACCAACTCACCTCACACCAGTTAGAATGGCTATCATCAGGACAAATAATAACAAGTGTTGGAGTGGCTGTGGAGAAAAAGGAACCCTCATATACTGCTGGTGGGAATGCAGATTGGTGCAGCCACTATGGAAGGCAGTGTGGAGGTTCCTCAAAAAATTAAGGGTAGAATTAACCATATGACCCAGCAATCCCTTTCCTGGGTGTCTACCCAGAAAATCTGAAAACATTTATCCATAAAGATGGATGTGCTCTGATGTTCATTGCAGCTTTATTTATGGTGGCCAAGACATGGAAACAACCAAAGTGTGCTTCAATAGATGATTGGATAAAGATGTGGTATATATGCACAATGGAATACTATTCTGCCACAAAAAAGAAGAAATAGTGCCATTTGCAACAACATGGATGGATCTTGAGATTATTATGATACGCAAAATAAATCAGACAGAAAAAGTTGAGAACCATATGATTTCACTGATACGTGGTATATAAAACTGAAAACAACAAAGGAACAAGACAAACAAATAAAGAAACAAAAACTCATAGACATAGACAATAGTTTAGTGGTTACCAGAGGGTAAGGGAGGAGGTGGATTGTAGATGAGAGTAAACGGGATCCAATATATGGTGATGGAAGGAGAACTGACTCTGGGTGGTGAACACACAATGTGATGTACAAATGATGTATTACAGAATTGTACACCTGAAACCTATGGAACTTTATTAACCATTGTCACCCCAATAAACTTTAATTAAAAACAACAAAACAAAAACCACCAACCTGGGCATGTAAAAAAGACTGAAAAGAAACATACCAATATGTAATAGTGATTGCTATAAGGTAACAGAAATGCTTTATTATCTAGATTTTCAATAATGAAGTATTTCTTTTAAAATGAAAAAGTAATACATTTAATGTTCAAAAGTGTGCCTTCCAGAAAAGTGAAGATCTGGAATATATAAGTGCATCTCTACCTGAATTTTGGTAACAGACACTAACAGGTTTATAGCTACTTTTGGCTTTAGCCTAGGGCTCTTTTTATTTCTGATCAAGATTTAACAGTTTTTGAGAAAGAGACAATTAGAAGGAAAATTGTCACTGGATATAGCACTTTTCAAAGTGTGTTCCAGCTACTATAACCAGATTTTAAGATCTTCCTGATTTCCTCTTGTGATTCAGGCATCCTCTCAGATAAAGAAGATCCCATCCCTGTCTCTCCAAGCACCCTGTATATTTCGGGGAGTGGTAGTGCCACTTTACAAAAACCTTCATTGGCCAGAACCTCAAGCAGAGTACATTGACTGAGTAAATATTCACAGCATGTTGAAATATTCTGGTAGTGGATTTACGGTAGGAAAACTATAAGTCAAGTCTTTCATCTTACAGGATGGAATTTTAAAAAATAATATTTTGGAGTTTCTCTGATTATAATTATTTAGCTTATTCATTGATTAAAACAAATTGAGGCATAGTATGGTATCAGCAGACATGCTCTGAAGACAATGGCCTTTCTTCAAAAAATAATGTTATAATGGAAGTATTCTTTTCTGTTTTCAGTGACTTTCTGGCTAATCAAGCTGCATGTTATGTTCAGGCGATACAGTGGATTTTGCACTATTACTATCATGGAGTTCAGTCCTGGAGCTGGTAAGGGATTAAAAACAAAAATAAATGTTTTGTTTTTTATAATGGTTCATTCTACTATAATCTCATTTGGGAATCTCTTTTCCGTTTATTTCTGTTTTCAGTGGTATTTTTAAAAAGATACACACAGCCAAGTTTAAATGAAATAGAGACAATCCGTTCTTATATGAAAATACTTTAAAAAGAACTTTGTATAACAACGGCACTTCCAGCCCTAGCAGATGGCCCATAATAAAAGCTCTTTCGTAATCTAAGGATTTAACATTTTCTATCATGATGAATCCAGTGTGGCAAAGTCTTTAGAATTATTGGGTCAGAGTGATTGTTATTATATATGAGGTTGTTCATTATATTCTTTTCTGCATTTTCTGTGTTTAAAAATTTTTTCTATCAGGAGTAATTATTGAAGTTATTTGAGTGCTAGACTGGAGGGGTAAAGAAGAAAGGAGAAAGAACTCATTTGCTTTTCATGGAAATAGTAATAACTTTCGGTTTCTCTCAGATTTCCTTTTCTAACAAATTCCATCTACATTTGCAAACCATCCACCAAAATAGAAAAATAACAAACCAAAATACCTCTGCTTGGCTTTGTTTTAAAGTATCATCACACTGCAAAACAAACCAGTGTGAGATAATATGGCATTAATTATGATTTCACTTACTAATAGCCTCTAAAAAAAATCTTTGCAATAACCTGATTCTCAGGACATCTCTGAAGTGTTCTAATGATAGAAATCCTTGATTTGCCATTTTTTTAAGAAGATGAGTATAAGTTATTCCTATTATACTACTTAGACAGTAAGGCCAGGCACTTAAAAACTATGTTTTCATATAATCCTCACAAATATTTAAGGTAAGTCTTATTCTCTGCCTTTTACAGATGAGGCTCAAAGAGGTTAAGTAATCTTTCCAAGGTCATATACACTCAAGCATCAAGTCCAAGCCTATCTGATTCCAGTGTCTCTACATTTCCATTATTCCACATGCCCTTCTACCTCCTAAATTTTTCCATTCATTTGAAATATGCCATAATTGTGGAATATAAAAATATTTCTTTATTTTTTGGCACCTTTAGTCAAACATTAAGAACACTGAAATTTTTAAAAAATTGTATGTACAAAGCTTTGTAGAATTTATACCTGTAAAGATGGGAAGGTATTAAAAACAAAAATAGTGTATATGATTGATAAATACTTTAATCCTTATCACAAATATAAACATATATATGTATATATATATATATATATATATGTGTGTGTGTGTGTGTGTGTGTGTGTGTATATATATATATATATATATATATATATATAGTATATGTACAAATTCAAATGTAAAAGTTATTAGAGCTGACTAATAAGAGCCATATGAATTCAGATTCTCTGTTCTCTCTGTCCACATGGAAGAGGCCCAAGCCCACATGAGCTTGTCAGAGTCTTCTGACTACCTCTTTACTTCATTCTAAGAATCTATTGATTGGGAGATTCACACTCAGCATTTGGGGAACTAAAAGAACCATTATGTTATATGCATCTTCAATTACATCATGTGTCCCAATTTTGGAAATGTGAAAATGTGCTTTAAAAATTAAAGAAATATAACATTCGTTGCTATAACATGACTAAATTTTCCAATACTACTGATTTACAGTGAAGTGGTAGAAATATGGGTGATAATTTTTTTCTTTAGAATTGTTGTTATGTGTTTTTAAAACAAAATATGGAAACGTAAATACTAATTATTGACCTGTTTCATGAAGTTGCCAATTGTTTAAAACTCTGTTTTGTTTTATAGGTATTACCCCTACCATTATGCACCTTTCTTATCTGATATTCGCAACATCAGTACACTCAAAATCCATTTCGAACTAGGAAAACCTTTTAAGCCGTTTGAACAGCTTCTTGCTGTACTTCCAGCAGCTAGCAAAAATTTACTTCCTACATGCTACCAGGTGGGTTTTAGAATTAAATATTTTAATGTTTTTTTTTGATATTTGGGAGCTTCTCCTCCAAACATAGAAACAGTACCTAAATTTCTTTAATAATGAAGTATATTTTTTATTTCAAATGCAGTAGTTCTTAAACAAGTCTCTTGAAAAGTAATTTCTTGATTTAAATTAGCTTTGTTTTTAAAATGCAAATATACCGCACACCATTCAGAGCACAGCTTCATTTTCAGCACCTTTATGCACTTTTTCAGTTTGTCTCTGCACTGATGAAAGGAAACTGAGACAGGCAAAATCTGAGGACATCTACTCTGTTCAGACATTTATAGAATCATTACTGTTTCTTATTACCCTCTACCTGTTAGAATAGGGATGGTTCTAAGAAGTCATTTATCTCAATAGAAGTATTACCTCAGTTTCTATTTGGATTTTCAGCATTTCATTTATCAGATTGTAGAATGAAAGTGTTTTCTCTGGTTAACATATTTCACATAACAGGAGAAAAATATTTCAGTGGTGTATGGGTCACCAAAATCACACTAAGTCTACTAAGCTGATTCTAAAGGTAAAATTCACTTAGTTCTTCTAGAGTATCAATCTGTTCTTCTAATTCCGTGGTCTGGTCCGAGGAATAGGAGTACACACACACACACACACACACACACACATACACACTCCACATCCTGTCCCCCAGCCCCCTTTGCTGCTTGAACAGTGTCAGGCTCCCTTCTACATCTTTCTGAAACTTAACCTGTCTTCTATCCTGGCCCCTCTGGATTCCCTTTCTTCTTAAGTTTCTTTGATGCCTTTTTCCTACCTTCAGATATATTAAGGACTGATACTTAGTCACTCTGAAGTGGTACAACCATGCAGGTATTTTATAGCCACATCTGTTTTGATTGTTCTGTATCTATGCCATACTGGTTATTAAATATTTTGAATATTACCCTGAGACATATGCTGGATTATTTCTTTAAAAAATTTTATATTGTAATCTCTTTCATATTCATGTCTTAGAGGACATCCTTTTATGCTTCATTATCTGCCTCTGTTATAAAATCTCGAATAGAAACATGTCTTATTGGACTTTTATCTTTGTTATTACTGGTGAAGAGATTCTTGGATTTTTAGGGTTCTTTATTTTTAAATATTCCTAGATGACAGTTTTTATTATATCTCAATAAAATCAATTGATTAGGACATGAAAGTAAATTGTTTATTTGAGGTTAAAAATGGAGGACTATTAGAAGCCTGTGAAATAAACTGAAGTCTGAATGGGAAAACAGAATTTAGGTGGGCCTTGTAGACTGAAAAAACAATAAAAGATAGAAAAAATGAAGTTAAAAGTTCAGAATACATGTGGTGTTGCTACATAACTAGTTCGGTAGAATGGGAAAGTGATGAATAGCAGTGAAATTAGAAGTATTATAGTTGAAAATCAAAATATAGTAATTATATTGCAAGATATTTAAGGTGTAAAAAATTAGTTTTGCTTTGCTTAGAAATTTTAAACTGTAACATTTGAGGCAATATTATAAATATATTAACAAAAAGCTATATTAATATTAGTTCTTAAATTTCTATTACACTATTTTGTATTTTCACAGCATTTGATGACCAGTGAGGACTCACCAATTATAGAATATTATCCACCTGATTTTAAAACTGACCTAAATGGAAAACAACAGGAATGGGAAGCTGTGGTACTAATACCTTTTATTGATGAGGTTAGTGCATGAAATAGTCACATATACACACATATGTTCTTAATCAGAGGTTATTTCACATAAGTTAATGAGCTATGGGTTTAAATCACCATTTATGTTTTGTTAATGAGATTTAACTACTCGCTTCTTCATTATGTGCATCAAAACTTCTAGGTATATGAGCTATAAGACAGCTGAATTTACTAGTATTAGACAAAGCAGACTTCAGAACAAGGAGTTTTACCAGCGATCAAGAGAGATATTTCATACTGATTAAAAGTCAAGTCAGTTCATCAAGAAGAAATTAAAATCCGAAATGTATGTACATCTAATAACAGAGCTTCAAACACATGAAGGAAAAACTATCAGAAATGAAAGGACAGATAGGCAAATCCACAATTATAGTTGAAATTTCAACACTTCTCTCTGAGGAATTGATAGAGCTAGAAGACAGAAATCAGGAAGGATAAAAACTTAACACTGTAAATCTGCTTAACCTATTAATATTTATAGAACATTACACCCAACAACTGCAAAATACTTGTACACTTTCTTTTTAAATGAATAAGGAAGATTCACCAAGATTATTTGCTGAGGTGTAAAACATGTCTCAATAAATTTAAAAGGATGGAAATCATTTAGAGAATGTTCTCTGACTACATGGAATTAAATTAAAAGTCCATAACAAATACCTGGAAAATCTGCAAACCTTTTGAAATTGAATAACTCACTTCTGAATAACCCGTGGATGAAAAATTGGGTAGAGGACCTGAATAGACACTTCTCCCAAGAAGACAAGTGGACAACAGATATATGAAAAAATGTTCAACTTCACTAGCTAGTAGGGAAATGCAAATCAAAACTACAAAGAGACACCACCGCACACATGTTAGAATGGTTATCATCAACAAGACAAGTAAAAACAAGTGTTGGAGAGGCTGTGGAGAAAAAGGAACGCTTATACACTATTGGTGGAAAGGGAAATTGGTACAGGCACTATGAAAACAGTATGGAGATTCTTCAAAAAGTTAAAGAATAGACTTGCTGTATGACCCAGCAATCCCTCTCCTGGGTATCTACCCCCAAAATGAAAACATTTATCCATAAAGATATGTACATCCCTGTGTTCATTGAAGCATTATTCATAGAAGCCAAGACATGGAAACAACCAGAGTGTCTTTCGATAGATGACTGGGAAAAAAAGATGTGGTACATATATACAATGGAATATTACTCGGCTGTAAGAAAAGATGAAATACTGTCATTTGCAACAACATGGATGGATCTTGAGATTATCATGCTAAGCAAAATAAGTCAGAAAAAGTTGAGAACCATATGACTTCACTCATATGTGGGATATAAAACTGAAAGCAACAAACAAGCAAAGAAACAAAAACTCATAGACACAGACAACAGTTTAGTGGTTACCAGAGAATAAGGGGGAGGGAGTAGAAGAGGGAAAAGGGTATCAAATATATGGTGATGGAAGAAGAACTGACTCTGGATGGTGAACATACAATGCAATATATAGATTTATAGAATTGTACACTTGAAACCTATATAATTTTAATAGCTGGTGTCACCCCTATAAATTTAACAAAAAATATTTTTTAATGAAATAAAAAAAAGTAACCCTTTGTTGAAATTAAAATGGAAATTTGAAAATATTTGAACTAAATGATAATGAAAACATAATCTGTATGATAAAACTAAAGGAGGGCTTAAAGGGAAATTTAGGTTCCAAGTGCTTATACTAAACAAGAAAAACTTTTAAAATAAGTTATGTAAGCTACCTACCATCAGAAACTAGAAAAATGAGTAAATTAATCCCACACGAAGCAGAATGAAGGACATAAAGATCAGAGCAGAAATCCATGGAAAATGAATGAACAATAGAGAAAAATTGAGACTGAAAGTTGGTTCTTTGAAAAGATTAATAAAATTGATAAATCCTAGCTATAGTGATCAAGAAAGGGGATTGGGAGGTAGGAGGGAGGGAGGGAAAAACACATAAATTGCCAATATTAGGAATGAAAGAGGAGACAGCCTATATGTACTTCTGATATTAAAAAGATAATTAAGGAATATTGTAAACAATTTTATGCCAACAAATTCAACAACATAGATGAAATGAACACATTTTTTAAAAAGACACAATTAAGCAAAACTAACAGGAAAATCTGAATACTTTTTCTTTTTTTTTAGATTTTATTGGGGAAAGGAAACAATGTTGGGGAACTGGGGAAGGGGAACAGCCAAGTTGTTGTCCTTCGATCTTAGTTGTGGATGGCACAGCTACCTGGCCCATGTGGGAATCGAACCAATGACACTGTTGCTCAGAGCTCGCACTCTTAACCAACTGAGCCACTTGGCCAGCCCCATTCCTTCATCTTTTAAAGACATTTAGTTCATAGTTAAAAACTTTAGCACAGGGAATAGTCTAGGCTCAGGTGTCTTCACTTGTGAATTCTAGCAAACATTTAAGGAAGAAATAATACCAATTTTATACAAACTCAGAAAATAGTAGAGGGAGAATAACTTCTCAACATAGTTTATTAAGCCAGCATAATCCATATACTCAAACTAGACAAGGGTGATAATTCAAGAAAATTACCAATAGCCCTCCTAAAAAATAGATGCAAAACTTTAACAAAATAAAACCAGACAGGATCCAGTAATATTTTAGAAGGATAATACTTATGACCAAATGGGATTTATTTTAGAAATACACAGTTGTTTACACTGTTTAAATGTGATTTACCACATTATCAATATTTAACATCCAGTTTTAATAGAAATGTTCAACAAACAGAATAAGAGAAAACTTTCCCAACCAATAAAGGGCATCTAAAAATAAAACCTGCTAACAACATACTTAATAGTAAAAAAATTGAATGTTTTCTCTGTAAAATTAAGGATAGGACAAGGATGTGCTTTCTAAACACTTTTCTATCATGTTGTACTGGAAGTTCAGTGTATTAAGGCCAGGAAAAGAAATAAAGACATGCAGATTAGAGAGGAAGAAGTAAAATTGTCTTTATTTCCATGTAGCACTATCACATATGTAGGAAATTTTAAGGAATCTTCAAAAACAATACACTATAACCCATAAGTCAATTTAGCAAGGTCATAGAGTATAAAACCTGTACAAAATTCAATTGTATTTCTATATATTAGCAACAAACAATTAGAAAATACAAAATTTTTTAAATAAAAAGTTTTTAATCTCGGGCCGGCCGAGTGGTACGTTGGTTAGGAACTGGTTTGGGATGCCAGAGGGCCCCGGTTCGGATCCCACATATGAGGGCCAGTGACGCTGCCCTCCACAGCTAAGATGCTGAACAACAGCTCAACCTGGAGCTGGGTTGCCGTGAGTTGCTGGCAACAGCGTAGGCTGCAGCCGTTGCTGCAGTTGGTTGCCATGGGCTACCATGTGTAGCCAGCAGCCAGTTTGAGCGGCCCTCAAGCCACCATGAGCGGCCCTCAAGCCACCATGAGCGGCTGTCCAGAAGCCGGCAACTGATCTGCCTCGCCTGGGAAGAGCGCAAAGATGGTGCCAACTTGGGCCAGTGAAGCAGTGTCCTCCACAACTAGACTGAAGAACAAAAAGACAGCAACTTGTCTGTTCCCCTTCCCCCAATTCCCCAATAAAAATCTTTAAAAAAAAAAAAAGTTTTAATCTCAACAACGGCATTAAAAAATACAAAATGCACAGCTACAAATTTAACATATGCAAGCCCTCTACACTGAAGACTGTAAATAGTGCTGACATGTAGAAGCCTAAGTAAATGGAAGGCTATACCATGTTCAAGGAATAGAAGACTTAATATTGTTTAGATATAACTGCTCCCCAGTTGATCTTTGGATTCAATGTATCCCAGTGAATATTCCAGCACATTTTTGTGTAGAAATTGGAAATCTAATTCTAAAGTTTTTATGAAATTGCAGAGCATCTGGAATAATCAAAGCAATCTGTAAGAAGAACGGTGTTAGAGGACTTTAATTATCTGATTGCATGACTTAACCATACAGCTGTAGTAATCAAGGCAGTACGTTACTTGCATGGCAATAGAGAAACAATTCAGTGGAACAGAATAGAGTCTAAACATAGAACTATGCTTCTCCTGTTAATTCATTTTTAATTAAGCCACCAAAGCTATTCAATGAATAAAAAAAAACCAAAAACCTTTTCAACACTTGGTGCTGGAACAGCTCTCTATATATGTGGGAAAAATGAATCTTGATCCATACCATACACAAAACTTAATTCAAAATATATCGTAGCTCTAAATGTAGAAGCTACAGCTGTAAAATTTCTTGAAGGAGAAAATTTTAGTCAAGACCCAGAACACACTAAGATGAAAAAAGAAATTGAAAAAATAAATTTCATCAAAATAAAAAATTTGTTTTTCAAAAGATACTATTAAAACATGAATAGGTAAGCTACTCATTGGGAGAAAATATTTGCAAAACATTTATGTGCATGGGACTGGTATCCCTAAAACAACTCTTCAAATTTGATAGTAAGAAGACAACCCAATTTTATTTTTTTTCCTTTTTTTAAAAAAAAAAAATTGGAATTGGGGGAGGGGAACAGTGTTGGTGAATTGGGGGTTGAAGGGGAGCCAGCCAAGTTGTTGTTCTTCAATCTTAGCTGTGGAGGGCGGCAGTCGCCATCTGGCTGCCCGTTGCCTCTAAGCTCAAGGTGCTGTGTTAGTCTTAGTTGTGGGCGGACATAGTTCACCATCGAACAGGCAGTCTTGTTGTTAGGAGCATGTGCTCTCACCAGCTGTGCCATCCTGCCACCTGTTGGCAACTCAGCTCAGGCGCAGCATGACTGGCCCATGTGGGAATCGAACTGGCAGCCCTGTTGCTCAGAGCTTGCGCTCTTAATGTAACTCTTAACCAACTGAGCCACTTGGCCGGCCCCGACAACCCAATTTTTAAAGTGCACAAAATATTTGAAGGGCCATTTTACAAGCCAAGTACACAAATAGCCAGTAAGCACATGAAAAAGTGTT